TGCTGAGCCCGCCTGGGACTGACGGCGGGGAAACCTGCTCGGAAACTCGCCTGGCGTTTCCAGAGAGGCCCCTGCAGCCGGTGGCCCCGGTTGTTGCACCGGAGTCGCGCATCCGCATGCACGCAGATCCCCGCATCCGCGTCCTCGCCTCAGCGACGAGGGATAGCTTCCCCTGTCCCCGCACCCCCCTTCAGAGACCCCCCCTGCCCGCAGCCGAGAAATGGAAGGATAATATTCCTTGCGGAGACAGAGAGAAAATAAGGCTCCCTCCCTCCGTCTACAGCTTCTCGTACCCAGCACGTGAGATCCAGCCCGCTGCCAGGCCATGGCACTCGCACAGGGGTGAGCTGTTTTACAGACCCCTCTGTCCCCAACAGACCTTCCCCGCAGTCCCCGGTGCTGCGCAGGCTTCCTGGGCGCCGGGGGGGTTCAGTGGCTTGGCTCGGAGTCGTGCTGCGAGCAACCATAGCTGTTAGAACTATTTGGATGTTTTGCTTTCCCTTTTTATAGCGGAGTAAATCAATCTGATGCTCATAAAACAGGTTCAGAGCACTAACCAGAGCCACTCGCCAGCCAAGCTTTTGCTGCGCAGCCTTTCCAGCTGTCTTCTACGCTTGCTGCGTCCCCAGGTGCCGCAGTCTTCACACCAGAGCTGCATCGCTTCTGATGCACCGCATCCATGTTCTGCAGTGCTGCGGCTGCCCTTACTGCAATCTGGCGTCAGTTGCTTTGCCGTTTCATTATACGAAATAGATTCGGTAGTACTAAAATGCTAAAAGAGCAGCTGCCTCGAGATTGCAGCTTCAATATCATTAATATTGCCTTACAAGGGTAAACAGAGCATTTTTAGAAATAACACCATTCATTTCCCCCTCTGGCTGTTTGGCAGGATGCGTTCCCACTATTAAAGGGGATGGACAGTCCTCTTACAACACTTCTTATCAAGCACAGTTTAAGGGTGAATGGAGTCCACCTGCAAAGCCAAGTGAAAAGGTAACAGCAGGCTTTTGGGGAGGACCGAGACACAGTTAAAGGGCAGCACGTTCCCACGTTGAGTTCTGTCCTGAAAGGGGTGGGATCTGTGCAAGTGAAAACCAGATGGATGGAAAGACAGAGAGGGGAAACAAAGGGACTGTGCTTTACGTGGCTGTTCTGTAGCTCTCTTGGCTTCCCTTCAGCACGTGTCTCCTATTAAATTTGGGGATCCCAGAAGCAGTGGATCTGTGAGCGAGAAGAAACATGCCTACAGTGCCCCAGACAAGAGGACACGCAGGTATCAGCAGGAGAACCTGATGGGCATCCCCAGGAACTGCTCGTTCCGATGAACATTGCTAGTTAAGCAGCTCATATCTGCTATCGTGCAGAGTCTATGACAAGGAACGTGCTGCCTCCCAGATCCACCGCACCAACCTGCAGCTGGGGGATGGTTGCACCAGGTTCTCCACCTCGACGTCGGAGCTCTTTCCAGTACACAGTCTAGGTAGGGTAAGTCTGTGACGAGGGGCAACGTGTACAGACCACTACTGGGGTTTATAACAAGCTGAACGGTAGGTTTTATCACTTGGGTTTAATGGTATAATTATAGATAAAGATTTAATGTATTCATATGTATATCATTTTATATTTTTAATTTTTTATAGTTTTTATGTACTCGGCATCAGTGTCGTCACTGTGAGGCTCAGTTTCATCCTCACTCACTTCCCTGGCAGGTTAAATAGCTCTATTCATTCCCATGCTTTATTGCATGAGGAGAAGCTACTGTAGCTATAAATTGTTCAGAGGCTGGAGTGCTCCGACATCCTTCACTCTTGCTTTTGCCAGAGCCTGTAACTACTGCCCGTCCAAACAAATACGCCTCATCCATCCCCAGAGGCGACGAAGACCCTGAGAGAAATCAAGCGTTGGCAAGAACTACTACTACACAGCTCTTCTACCCAGAGGTCTGTTCCCAGCTTTGCTGTGCGGGTGTTTCTCTGGTGGAGACCCTCTCTTTTTTTATGTACACTACTCTGGCACCTACAGCCGATGCTGTTGTCCCTTCTCCCCTCCCCACTCTGGGCTGTGCAGGGTGCAACGTGCGACGGGGCGCGTTTCCCAGCTACAGCCTGTTTCTGTTAAAGCCGCTCTTGTGTTCTCCAGACTGACAGGTGGAACCTCGCACCGAAGCCTGGCTTGCTACTGCAGAAGCATCGAAGCAACGTCTGCTTGGGAGATGAGCGTTCAGGCTCCCATTTCTTCAGCACAACGCAGCAGGCAGACTATCAGCCACCCCGCCAGAGCCAGAGGGTGACAGCAGACAGCAAGAGCCACCGTGAAAGCCACATCCCCTTCAACTACCACAGTAAGGCCACATTGCTCAGGCTGTCGTGGTGCCAGATGAAGCCTGCTGAGGTTCTCCTAGCTCTGTGCCAGGGACAGCGATGCCAGGTGCTCTGGGAAAGGAGGCAGCCCAGACATCGTGGGTTGGAGATGGCAGGAAGGCACTGGTGCAGCATCACGTCTTTAGTAAAATGAGACTGTTACCCCAAAACCAGGCAGGACAGCCGTGCTCAGCCCCATGCCTGCTGCTGCTGGTTCTCACAGCGACTGCTAATCTCAGGCACTTTCACCTCCCCAAATGACATCTCACTTATCGGCCACCTTGATGCCTGTGCCAGCCATAGGCATTCACTGCCATCGTACAGCAATGTTTAGCATATTCAGGTGACATAAATGATTTCTGGGACATGAACCAGTGGCTTGATCTTTCTCCCTTGCTACATTTGTTTTTAGAAGTTGCTTTGCATTTGTATTTGGGAGGATGGAGAGGATTTCAATCAAAAGCCGTGCTTTGATCCCCTCAGGAAGGGATGTGGTTAGAGCTGGTCATGGAAGGCATTAACAAAATCCTCCTCTGACGTCGCCTCCTGTTTCTGATGGCCAGTACTCAGCAGCTAAGAGAGAGGTTCCTTCATGCCATGTATCTGTTTTTAAGCCATTTGTTTTCCTAAATGTGGAACAGATCACAGTTGAATTGATCTTTTCCTTGGCCCCAAACTTCTGGAGCAGCTCCATAACTAGCATATGGAGTGATATTCCTGTAACTTCCATGTGAATTTCTTCATTTACCTCCTCACCCTGAGAACTGTTTTCTGTCCGGGCAAAGGTTTTCAGCAAAGTGCTGACGGCAAAGCCTGTCTTTTCCTCTCGTTAATGGAAATGCACACAGACCTGTGACTGCAAGTCAAACTGCAAAGCTTTTCTGATATTGCCTCCTAATTTACTGGCTTGAATTTACCTTTTATTTCAATTCCATCTGTCAGCAGATGAAAGTTCTGTCACAACCATGCAGGCCATGCTGGTCCCACACAGACAGCAGAAACAACGACTCTCCAAAGACATGCTACAGCAGGTACAGCCTTAATAGGCTTGGATTTACCACCGAGCGGCTTGGGGAAGCGGGATTATACCAAGCAAAGCTGTAGCCTCCCCATTAACATCATCAGATTTGATGTGTGCTCTTGAGCCACTTGAGATGGGACAGCCATGCAGCAAATCCTGTCTGCCTTCAGTCTCAAGTAAATGCTGTGGGGAGCAGAGTCGTAGCTGAGAAAAATCTTTGAAGGGAGGGGAAGGATAGGCAGCCAAGTCCCCAAGCCAAGGAACGTTGGAGGGAGGGGGAAGGTGATTCTGGTCCCCCACAGAGGATCAGAGGAGGAAAATTGGCATGGCTGGAGGTGTCCAGCCAAGGTAAATGCCTCTTTGCACCACCAGCAGAGAAGGCTGTGCGTCTTCCAGAGAGAGAGGATGCGGGCATGCACAGACCGCAGCTGCCCAGGGGGGTCACCCTTCAGGTAGCAACACAGGGCTCAGATGTAGGGGCTGCCAGGTGCCATGTTGCCACCTGCCTCTTCCCCAGCCCCGTCCCCATGTGCTGAAAGCTATTTTCTCTCCTCAGATCAAATGCTCACACCTGGGGCTACCCTGGAGGGCACAGGACTTCTTCAGGACTGAGCAGAAAGATGAGTTCACACCCAAGTCCAGAGGCCCAGCAGAAATCCAAAAGGCAAACTCCCAAGTGAGCTGCGTCCCCCTGGGGACCCTGAAAGGATACTGTCCCCAGAGGAAGGTCCTCTTCGCACCGTGATGTTCTCCCTTCTTCAGCAACCGCCCAGAACTTGCTGCACTGTGGACTGCATACAAGTCATGTTCCCTGTTAGCCATCCTGGTGCCCTGCTCTTGGCCTGGAACATTTATTTCTCAGATTGAATGAGGACACAAGAAGGTGTTGTGACAGCAAGAATAAACACTGGGAGATTAGCCCAAAGATGTGGGTGACACATCTCTCTGGATTGCGAGACCCACTGAGTGCCTCTAGGCAGGAGCTGGGCCAGGGGGAAGCAGGTGAGGTAGGGGGAAGCTCAGAGGAAGGGCAAGAGATCAGAAGCAAAGTGAGAGGCACTGTCAGGACTGTGTGTGGGCTGGAATATTCCCTTATTTTGTGTTTGGATTTTGGTGTCAAGGCCTGAAACCAAAGGTCGGTGAACAGTAGGGCAGAGAGGTAGTCCTCCCCAGCTTATGATGAGTGGGCTGTTTTCCTAGAGGTGAGCTGTGTATTTTTGTTGTGTTGATAACTCACGTGGGTTGCCTGAATGCTGAGCTTGCACTAACTCTGTTTGGGTATTTTAAAGAGGGATCGGTGTGGGCAGGGCAGCCCCCTCCCTTGGGAGGCCGAGTGAGCAGGGTTGGCTCCTGCCTTGTCACAGCTGCCACTTCACAAGCTCTTCTCAGCCTTCTGATGCAGATGGGCTTGATTCACATGTGCTGTGAGCCAGCACCAAAGCATTTGAGCACGGGTTACTAAACCATTTCCAACTGCTGCAGTTCGTGTGTGAGCGGTGGCTGGGCCCACGATCCCCCTGTGCTTTCCTCTTGGGATTTGACTCTACATCCCTCGGGAAAGGGACAGTCTTTGCTCCACACGTACTTCAAAGAAGCCGCATAGTCAAGACTTGCAAATGCACACAGGCACCTCACATCAGTATCTTACGCCGGTACGTTGCAAACACGATTCAAACACCTAGATTGCATCATTTGGTGTAGTAACGGGGATGTGCACCTGCTACCAGTCTGCCCCATTACTTTTATGTGACCCTGAGGTGACATTGCCTGTGCTACCGCAGAAACGGCCACGGTTCACTGGGGTGAACATCACCCTTTTGGTGGAACCAGCTGGATGGGGAGCTGTTGCTGGGAGGACCCTGTGGTTATTCACTTTCTTTTTCATGTGGATTTTGATGCAACTTCACAAACAGAAAGTAAAACTGCTTTCTAAACTCCTCTCCCACCCCTTCCAGCAATGCCCCAGGAGTGCCTGAAGCAGGAAGGCTGAACAGCCTTTCTTTGATTCCCCCAGCTACATGAAATCTGCCGCCACGGTTGGTGGTGCGTGACACCCCTCCCTGCCGACGGAGCCACCAGCACGTACCAGTTGCACGTCGACAGTGTCTGTGACTCAGAGATAAGATGAAGTCACGTTATTTCTCGATCGGTTTAAAAACACGTCACTCGTCTCCACGGCCCCGTCCTTGGCACGGCATCAGCCTCACGCACATGAGGCCAACGCTAAAACATCACTGCAAAACAGGGTCTCAGTCCAACCCTGAGGAAAATTAGGCCTGCAGGGTTGGGCCAGTTAGGGGCAGGGATAAATTGGGGGATCCCGGTGTAGCCTTTGCTCCTTCCTCCCTTCCCTGGCTGCACAGCTGCCTGTGCCGCTCGCCTCAGCCCAGGCGGGGACCAGCCTCCTGCAGCTGCAGAATAAGCAGGGCCAGCAGCGATGCAGCCCCTGGGGTGTGTGCAGAGCTTGGCGGTGGAGCTGGAGGGCGGGCGAGCGTGGGGCGCCTACGGCAGCGGGGAGCTGCTGCACGGCCGGGTGCAGCTGGAGCTACGCGGCGCGCTGCGGCTACGGGCGCTGGAGGTGTACGCTTGCGGGCACGCCACTGTGCACTGGCTGGAGAGCCGCAGCGTGGGGCTCAACACCGTCTACTGTGACTACACAGCCAACCAGACCTTCCTGTACCGCCGCTGCCAGCTCATTCCCGGTAAGGCTGGGGCATGGGGGTGGTTCTCTGCTCCAGGGCGTTGGGCTGGGACCCCCTTGGGCTGCAGGGATCTCCTCCGGGAGGACCTCTGCCCTGGTGGGTGCTTACCAACCCAAGGAGGGTTGGTAAGGTGTCCCTCTTGGACACCTTCTTCTCACCTTTGCCGAGGGTTTCTCTGCTGCCGGTTTCTAGGAGTCTGCCTGCAAACTCGGGGCCGGTGAGCACGAAAGGGTTGTGGCTTTTGTTCTGTTTGCACAGGGAAGTGCAAATAGAAGTGTCTGTTCGCAAGCGTGGAAAGAGCACTTAGTAGTTCCATAAATATTTGTTTTCAGTTTCCTGATGCTGGGACTGCATGCCCAGCTGGCACGTTGCTTAGATCTTGCTGCATGAGGACAAGCCACTTGAATTCTTTGTGTGGTTGGGATGAAATGATCCAGAGCTGAGGGATATGGGACATCTCAGCTGTCCATCCACTCATTAACTCTGTCTTTTCTTAGGAAAGTGCATGGCTTTTATCCTTCCCCCCAACGATAGTGTTACAGTCATGGCTCTGTGGCTTTTTCTCCCCCTTTCCCTGCTTCTGATGTCCTTGTTCTTGACTGTGACACAGTGCTATGTGCCGCCCAGCCCTGGCGATGGCTGTAGGACTTCACTCATGCCGAGGGCGTTTAATTGTGTCAGTGGCCAAGTGCAACCCCGAAAGTCGTGCCAGCCCTGGCTGGCAAATGTAGAGGTTGCAGGAGGAAACTGGAGTGATGGAATGAGGACGTGAGCTGTCTTCCTGAAGGTGTTCTTGTCTCTGGACGGCACTGGAGGGTCATACTCTCTATTTCTGGATGATTGTACCTTGCCATCTGCTCCAAACACCTGCATTACTCTGGAGTTTCTGTCTTTTGGCAGTGGCTCTTCCGTGCTGTGCCTATGGATGGCCCCTTTGCAGCTGCAGCTGCGCTAAGTGTCCCGATTACAATTAAGGACATGGGAGAAGCCCTTGCCCTGAGCTCCAGCAGAGAAGGTCCTGAGCACTTGGTCACTGTAGTGTTTCGACGGTGGCTGCGTTAGCTGTAAGGTTACAGGGTGAGTTTTATTCCCCATTATCCCTGCAGTGAATGTAGGGAAGCCACAAGCTGCTGCGAGCATGTTTGGATTTTGCTGTTGGGACTGTATATGATAGGAGCCCCTGGAGCTATCCGGAGAAGGGCGCTCGGCCAGGGGCTGGAGGGATTGCATGAGCTGCTCGGCCTCGCCAGCACCCTGCACTCCTGTAGCCTGGAGCTGATGGTTTCTGGCCCTCGCCTACCGCACAGGGAGAGTTGAACTGGGCTCCTTGGGGAGCAGAGAGCCCCGCCAGAACTTGTGGGCTGGGATTTTATTGTCTCTGTCCATACACGGATTCCTTTTCTGCTTTGTGAGAGGAACGCGGGGTGTGATCACAGGAGTGTTTTAAGGGAGCGAAGGCTGTGGGCTGCAGGGAAGTGCTGTTGTGCAGCCAAAATCATTTCCTTTGGATCCCGCTGGGTCCTGCTCTGTCCCGCTGTCCCCAACGGCAGCGTGAGGACCTTCCTGATGTCAGCTAGCAAGAGGCTGCTGAAAACGTGCCATCATCCAAAGGTCCCTGTGACTGCTCCCTTCTTGTTGCTTCTTGATGAGATCAACTGTGTCTGCGTGGTGTTTAAAAAATGCAGGTTTTGTCATGGTAACAAGGCAGTGCAGAGGAGGGAGGCTAGGCAGAGATAAGAGCCCTCCCTTCTGCTCTCCCCTGAGCTGTGAGTTTATCTGCAGTTTCCTGGCAGGGTGGCGAGTGCTGGTACCGGGGTGCTGCGCTGTGAGACGAGAAAAAGGGTGAAAGAAGGATGTTCAGACTGCGTGGCAGGGCCATTAAATTTACATTGTGTAATCATCTGAGATAGGGAGCAGGAAGAGAGGAAAAAATAGGGGTTTAATGGGCAAAGGCAAGGCAAGGAAGGCCCTGGACTCTTCTGCGTGAGGTGATGTGAGAGAGCCCTGGGAAACATAAATGCTTTTTGTGCAGTGATCTTTTCTGTCCGAGGATCCCGCATCACTTCCCAGGGGTGTAGGTCCTGTCCCGGTGAGAGGCAAACATCTAGAAGCCATTTTATTTTCATGGAGACATCCAGGAGAGTTATGGCACATGGGCTAAGAGCACGTCAGGGCTCCTGTTCCGTTGTGGGGTGGCCCTCGGTCAGCACCTTAATCCTCGTACATACGCAACACTCACAAATCCGGCAGGGACGGAGCTTATTCCTCAAGCCGGGAGCTTGCGCTTGTGCAAGGCTCCGCATTGCCCCGTCTTGTCCCCATATTGGGTCAGGGTAGAGCTGCTGACTCGCCTTTTTACGTGCTGCATCTGGCTTTCCAGGGACCCTTGTGGGGCTCCAGGGCCAGTGGGGAGAAGCCACCAGGTCCCAGCAGTGGGTCAGAGAAGGAGAAGCACCTTCTGAGCTGGGCTGGGTGTCAGCTCCTGTTGGGACCGGCTTAAGCCTGGCCAGACTCTAGGTGGGGCTGAAGAGTTGGAGATCTTTCCTGCACCGACCCTGGCCTGGGTTTTAGTTGGGTTTGGGCACCTAGGAGCGTTCTTGAATGGAAAGCCCTCGGCCGTGGTCCCACAGCCCCTGCACCTGGAGATCCCGGGAGAGAGGAGAGACCCTCTCCCGGCGCTCGGGTCCCAAAGAGGTCAGAGAGAGGCTTCCCACCCCACATGGAGGCAACGAGAGGTAGCTGTGGACATCTCGTGCAGCTGACGTAGGAGGGAGCTTTGCAGAGATTCTCATCCCGTGGGCGAAGGCTGAGTCACGGGCTGAGGGATGTGTGCCGACAGGCGGGAGGAGGAAGATGCCAAGCGCAGGATGGAGCTGCTTCGGCCCCGCCGAGGCTCCAGCCCCTCTCGAGAGCCCCACCACCTCTAATGTCACCGTGCATCGCAGCAGGGACACCAGGCGCCTTCCCAGAGCTGGCATCACCCGTTAACTCATGCTGTGACATGCCTTCCTTCCTTCTTTCCCCTTCCTGTTGCTGTCGGGCTCCTTTTACAGTGTTTGCTATGATTCATGTTTGCTTGTGGCAGCAAATGGTCGTGCACATAAAATAAAACACAGTCCCCTTCCCTTGGGGAGGGAGACAGACAATTCCAGTTAGCCTTTGGAGACAGCTAAAGCTTTGCAAGGCTTCAGCCCAGCTCATTTTCGGTGGC